CTCTCTCTCTCTCTCTCTCCTCTCTCTCTCTCTGCAGCGCAAACTGCGTCCGTCGGTCAATCTCGCATTAAACGTTTGCTGACCGCGCCTAAACACGGATGATAGGTACATACGTGCATCACGTTTTATTTGCTCGCGATTGACAAAATCGATATCTTCAGGAAGTCTAGTCGAGTTTAAGCAATCCGGTAGAAGTGACTCCATATTAATATAATTGTCTTCTTCATATCGTGGCAGTTGTGCCGCAATTAATAGACCGAATCTCTAGCAGGCGCTATTACAGGGATCCTTTATTCGCTCTCACGATCTGACAGCTAGACGGTTAATCGATATTGCACCAAATTTATCCTTGAACCTATTCACAATCGGATTTTACGGCGGGTTAATTGGAGTAGTTGGCGAAATCTCCTCGAGAAACTCCGATTAAGCAGTAAACTACTCTCGTTACACCTTTCTGTCTCACCGCCGGTCTCAGGAAACTCAGAATAGGTTTCTCCTCCGTTCAACTTCATTTATCTAAAACCGCGCACTGCGATCGTCACTCCTCGGCGAGATAGACGCGCAATTATAAAACAATTATCGATTATTCCTGATTCAATAACTCGTCGAACTGCATGCCGACGGTAAACGAGGCGATAAAGCGACTTTCACCGAAATAACGGTGGAAGTGAAATTCATATAAAGATAAATAGATGATCCGGCGCGCACACAGGCCCCGACCCGCACGTCAAATTGCACCCTTGACGCGGGCGTAACCGTGTAAACTCGACTAAAACACACACATCGCAATTAATATTCTAGAGCTATTGTATATAAATATTCAAATATACATTACGCCCGGATACGTATCTATCCGTTTCCACAAGATTATCCTATGAATAAATTTTGAATTAGACCATGAATATAATATACATGTACGGACATACGTTATTCGGATGTGCGTGAGTCTCCATTTGCATTGGTGAGTTTTAGTCAATAAATATAAATATGTGTGTGTGTGTGTGTGTGTGTGTGTACACACACACACACACACACACACACATATTATATATACCGTGTGACGCATACCGTGTTATATGCATATATACGTACGCGCTTAGTTACCACATACATGTGTCTTCATTTGCATTGCTGATACGAGGGTAATAAATTCAGATACGGGGGATACACGGGAATCGCTCAACTATAACGAGTTCGACAAGCGTTGTAAACAAACGTATAACGAAATTACGAATTACGAAATTTCGAAGGAACGTGATCTGATCGGAATGGCGGAGGGGAGATATCACGAATTTGGCGACGGCGGCGGCGGCGGCGGCGGCGGCGGCTGGATTTTCGCAGGTCGTTCAATCTCGCCGTTCGCCACGAGATCATAAAACGGACGGATCGTGTTCTTAAGCGACGCTTGATTGCTTCTCATCCGCTAGGAAAGCAGATTGTCGGAAAATTGTGTTTTCCATTGGTTCGCCATTCGTTTCTTCGAGATTTACAGTAGCGGAATCGGCGAGCCTTAATAACTTTGGTCGGATACCGATCGATATACAGCCACACGAGATTAGCCGGTAATACGTACACAGACTTTCCGATACTTTTCCATTCTGTTCCGAGAGTAGCTTGCATCCGTATTAGATTATCCCTCCGTTATCGATTCGATACCTGCCGCGAAAGAGACTAGACGAGGGGTCGTCGAACCCCAAGATAAGAAAAGTATCGTTGAAAAAGTAGCCGCGAATTCTCTTACAAATCTGTGTAGTTTCGTGAAAACCACAGAGAGGCGGAGGCACGGCCTTCTGCCGAAATGGCTGCCGTCTCGTTCTTGCATTATTTAAATCGTACGGCCAATGATGAATATTTTATGCCAAAAGTCAGCAACAACAGCCGGCGCGCGACACGCGCGGGCGTACGCGCGGAATCGCAAACGAGAGGAAGGAGCTCGTCACGTTTGCCGCGTTGAATTTCGCGCATCCCTTTTCTTTTAATAGTCAGGACGATCTCTGAGAGCAGAATGGATAAAGCAGCTCATTCGTCATTCCGCGCGGGAGACGCAAATTTCCCCGCGCGTTTCTTTCTCTTTCCCGTAATTCCCGCGCTCTCCTTCAGGCGGTCTTTCTCCGCGTTAGAACAGCTACGGGCTATATGCGTGGCCCGCCCGCAACTTCGAGGGGAGGGAGGTTCAAATCAAACCATGATAGAAAAAAGCGAACGGGTAAAAAGCAACGGGAATAAAATATGAGAGATACGTTTTCCTCGAGGCGATACGATTCATTTTACCGATCCTTCCCTCGCCTTCGCCGCAGCTGTGAAAAAGGAAGCGGAACGGAGTCGCGAGAAAAGAGAAAGAGACTCGAGGAAGACATATAGTATTAACTCGTCACGTTAAATTCTCTCTTTACCCGCCTCCGAAACTTTCTCCTCGCAACCTAGATCTATCTAATTGTCTCTCGGTTACCACTTGTAAATTACATTCAATTACATTCAATCGTAACGCACGATAGATATCCAATCTCTTTACGATCGCTATGATCTTCAAATTAAATAATATATAATGTTGTTTATCAACCAAACATTACACTCAAAAATGGTAACGCAATCAATTTTTGAGGTAAAATCATTGGGGTTGTAACGCATTTTACAATCTCAGCCTCTTTCTATCTCGCGAGCAACGATACTTTAATGTTGGATTCATGAACACGAGCTGCGTTTCGGGCATCACCACCATGGCGCCTTATCAAATTCTCATACGAAGCTTTGGGGAATCACGAAGAATGACGGAGAACAAAACGCCAAACGAGATACATTGTACATACGGCGCATCCATACGTACTACCTGCCTACTTGCTGTCAATACCGATCAACTCCGCATCAATTTGCTTTCTCTCTTTCTCTCTCTCTCTTCCTCTTCTTCATTCACTCTATCGGAAGAACGGCGACCATTGAAATTTCGATCAAATCGGCTCCGATACATTCGATGTCTTTTCGATACCTGGAGGATCGACATCCGATTTGTCTCTACGTCACGCATTTCAGTCTATCATGTTGGTTTCTTTGTGTATGAATGTGACCACACATTTGTGTGATGGTCCATCATGGCCAGTTTAATACCATCATTGTAATCACAAAGAATAAAATAAAGAGGAGCGCGAAGAAATTTATCCGCTTAAAGTTTTACGCGGAACCATTCTTCCGTGTGGCTCTTGTTATTCTTTACGTATGCAAATTATCTATAGTATACTGAATATTCCAAAACTTCCATTCCTTTTTTTCCGAATAAAGATTTCAATCTTTTTTTAACGAGATATAATAATTAACTTGATATAATATTGATTTTCCGTCACAAGTTACTTTTTGCAATTACGTGCTATTCTTGTGATATGTTAAATCAAGACACTGAATAAGCTAAGATTATATAATAAAATTAATCTAAAACGAAAAAATAAATTATAAGTTTTTCTCAAGATTTCTTGATCCCTAGTTATTTATAATTATCCAAAGATTTATTGTCTCTATATTTTTGTTAAAGAAAGAAATTTTAAATTGACGAATGAATCATTTGTAGGTAGTTTTAGGGCACTTGTCTAAACAAAAATTTTTCAAGTCTCGTTTTATAGAGGGTTTTAAATTTATTTCCGCTATCCCTGCTGTATATCCGTTTTTATTAGCTTTCGTCGAGAAACCAGAGTGATCAACAAATACGAAAAATAAAGGACGACTCGTCGAGTAAAACCAACAATTTTTGAACATTGATCGTCCACGCATAGGCATCTGATCGACAATTCGCATCGGCTTACTCGACGCATTGACGTGCAGTCAATCGGTGCAGTGAGAATAACAGATCTGTCTAAACAGCGCAACGATGTTCGTTTTTTCCGTCGAAAAACAGCCGAAACGTTTTTTCGTCATTTTTTCCACAGAATTTTTGACTGTCCATTTGTCGATATTGTGGCTGTCTTTTAAACTGAAAGATTTGAAGTGTGTTAAGTAGGGGTTGCAGACATAACAATTAATACGTGTCTCAACATCGTGTCTCAAGTAATCATTATATCGAGATGATTTCTAATCGAGTAAATTCTAATCGAGTAATTTCTGCACCGACACAAAACATAACGCATTCATTAATATCGCAATTACTTTTGGACTAAAGTATAATAAAACAGGTATTACATCGTGCGATGGTAAATAGTTATTGTGTACTCTGAAACGGATTCTCTCAAGCGCAAGATAATATATGTATAATTACACAAATTATCGTTAAACCGTAAACATAATGTACTCTGTACGCGGTATAAAGTGCGCAAATATGGCAAACGCAATGGGCGACAAAATACGCCAATGGGAAATGTGCAACATAAAAATTTTTAAATCTCGATACCGAAAATACTTTCATAAAATTCTCACCGGGTCATATTTCGATCGTGACGTAACGATAACGAATCTAGGTTGTAGCGATATATGTATGTGTGTGTATGTGAAGAGAGCGACGAGTGGCCAATTCGTTTGCTCTTCACGTTTGGCAGCGTGCTGAGTGTAATTGCGTTGTGGTCGTCGCGCGGCGCGAGAACGCTGTT